ACAGGCACTAGATTGAAATCCCCGAGGAAAGAGGAACGTAGGTAGGGCCAAAACAAACTTGGAAAAGATCTGTTGTCGGTGAAGAACAAGCAGTCGGAATGTCGTGGACCCAACTTGGAGGCAGTGTTTCTCCCAGGGATCTCGATAGCGAGGTGTGGCTGCGTTCTGATGCTCGACGAGGGACCCACACGAATGGAGATAGCGCTAGTGAGAATATGAGTTCGAGTCTGTATAGTTACCAGTGGCGTAGCCAGGATCGTCTCAAGGGGGGGGGGGGGGGGGGGGTTCCAATTTTTACCCGGGGACAAACTTTCGATTTGCACCCCACCCCCCCCCCCCCCTCAGACTTTTGATTTGCAACCCCCCTCAAACTTTCGATTTGCACCCACCCCCTCAGGCTTTTGATTTGCACCTCCCCCCCCCCCTCAAACTTTCGATTTGCACCCCCCTTATACTTTATATATATACCGAGGGGTCTACGGGGGGGGGTTATGACCCCCCCCCTAACCCCCCTTGCCTACGCCACTGAGTTACATGCACTATGCAGTCCGTGGGGATGTATGCGTGAGTGTTATTCATTAAGGTTTGTTTAATTTTATTAATATTTTCAAAATATTAACTCCATTTGTATACGATTAATTTAAATTAGAAAATGGCTTCGATGGCTATTATGTACACTAAAATTTGGCTATGGGTAAAGTTGAAAGGTTAAGTTTAAGTTTGAGGGATAAAATGGTCTATAAAAGAAAAAAAACACGTATGCATTTAAAATAGAGCTTCAAGGGGAAGAAACTAAGGCCAAGTCTCAATGCTTGGACTGTGTGTTTAACATTATGACATGGTCTACTTCAGTGAGAAAATATCAAGGGATGTCCTGGACAAGTTTTTCACCTATAGACATCGTAGTCTTAACACCAACGGAGACATACAAGCGAACTTGATTTATTTTTCTTTATCTTATATTTTTATTACAGTTATCTAAATAAAGTCTGTACTATGTTTAACATAGGCTTAACAAGGAAATGTCCACCAAGTAACCAATTCTTATGTCTTTTTATCTCTCAAATGTGACATATCTAAACTAGGATAAACTTGTTTAGTTTTAAAACTTATTCTTTTATTTCTATTACTTTCATCCCAACGCAAAATGTGTATTCGGGCAAATAAAGGAGACTGTTTTTGTTAGGAAATCTTCGTCAATCTCAAAATATAGAGACGACGATATAACCCCTAAATGGGTACTACACGTTTAGACAAATATGTCCTACAAAAGTCCTACGGAATCAGTGTTACACTTGTATTCAAAAGCCCTACAAAAGTCCTACTTTAGAATCTGTGTTACACTTGTATACAACTATTTCCTACAAAAGTCCTACTATAGGAAATAATGCTACAACGAGAAATGTCCTTCAATGAAACATAGGCAGGACACACACAAAACCGACATTACCTGTCTTTGTGTTTTTTAAAAGTCATGAATATCAAACCCCCAGTGTCCGTAAAATCCCAATAGATGATCAGATCTTCCATACAATCCAATGTTCTAAGATGCTCCTAGAATTGTCAGATCTTCCATACAATCCAATGTTCTAAGATGCTGCTAGAATTCTCAGATCTTCCATGCAATCCTGTATATCTAGAACATGACTCCAGATTCTAAGATGCTCCTAGAATTATCAGAACTTCCATAAAAGTCTTGTCTTGTATTTTGGCCAAATTTCAAACATCAGCGTTCATGAAATTTACAATAGTTACATGCAATTCCATTTGTCTAGAAATGTGTCCAAGTTTTCTTATGCCCTATATCTCCTGGAACATTCACCAATCCTTTCCGTTTATAACATGGTCTCATGAATTATACAAGATATCCGCTAGGTTATAAGATCTTATGTACAGCATGTCTATATCAGAACATGGTCCAAACTCCTAGAAAGATTGTTCACTAGAAAAACAAAGCTTGCACACACGCCTTTGAAAAAGGTTCAAGGAACTCTGTAGTTTGATTAAATTATGACTGCCTAGTAAAAGGTTCAAGGAAATCCTTAGTTTGCGTAAAATTATGACTGCCTAGGAAAAGGTTCAAGAAACTCCTTAAAAAACTTCCATCTCAGAAAAGATCCAAGGAACTCAGTAATTTGCGCAAAATTCCGACTGCCTCAGAAAAGGTTTAAAGATGCTTCTTAAAGAAGAATTTGCTAACTGGCAAACCATAAAAGCGACGAGTGCCCAGATTTCGGTGTCCATTACGGCTAATGATCTAATTAGTATTGACCTATGGTTGAGAGGCAATCAGCATCCTTTATTGTGAAGAACCTGAATAAATTACATCATGATAAAGTCACTCGGGAATATGACGTCACGCGGGAATATGACGTTACGTGGGAACACAACGTTGATACCAAAGCGAGGCCTTATGCTATCCTAAAAATACATCGCATTAGCATAATTAGGTCTTTACTGGTATTGATTTCACGTCTAAATTTAACCAGAATTTTTGTTGAAAAAATTATTCAAATATGTATCGGGATAACTAGTATCACTAATTTTTTGTTTTGTTTTTTTAAATTTTAGATGTTTTTTTTTGTTTTAGTTTTTGTTAATGTCGTGGTATTTAATATGTCACATTGTTGTAGGTTTGATATAAATATTTTACTTAAAAACGGCAATAACTAAAACATTCAGTCACTGGTAATTAACCAAATTCGTGTAATTAGCTAAATCGCCATGTGATTGGCCTAATTTCATGCGATTAGAAAAATAATGATATTGACCTTTAATCAAAATACCAGGACAACTACTTTATTCATGTGTAAGTGACGTAGGTCATTTATAGACTCGTAGATCATAGGATGGGGGTAGGGGGTGGGGGGGGGTATGGGAGCAGGGTATTCTAGGGCGGGGGCGTGATTGTAGGGATGGGGCGGTAGATTACTTGGGATAAATGAGGCGTTGATGAAATAGAGATGGGGGTGGCGGTGAGGTTGTTGGGGGGGGGGGGGGGTGTAGTATTATACACAGAAGGTGTTACATGGGGGTGACGGTGACGTGGTCGTGGGGTGGGGATGTGTTACATTTTACATAGCAGGCATCACATACAGGAGAGGGGTAAGGCCGACAATAAGTTGGCTTTGTGACTGGGAATGTATTGCATTATAGACGGCAGGCATTCCTTGACTCACAGTTTTTAAGATACACCCCCCGCCCACCCCAGCCCACTAGATCCCACAGCTTATAAAGGGCACCAGTTCTAAAGAGACCCTCGGATTATTTTCATTTATATTATTTTTCTAAAAGTAAATGTGTAATCCCTCGGGGATTCCCCTCTCCAACCCACCCCTATTGATCTATAGAAGAAACGCCCATGGTTGGGGGGGGGGGGGGGAGTGTCGCTATAGAAAACAAAACCACACGACAACAAAAAAAAAGAAATCGTATTTATGAATACTAATTTATAGCAAAGAAGATCGGATGGGGGATGTGTAAGATGGGGATGTGTAGGATTAGATGGGTGACATCCGCCTAACAAAGATGGAAGCCGATATCTACCATAGCTGCTGGGTTACTACTTGAGGAAATTCACGTCCAGTTAATGGGTGGCCATTTTCTAGACGACATCTATAAATAAAATGCATGACGTCATTGGCGTCTTGGCTAAGGAAAAGTTAAGCTAATTTTTTTGTTTCTGTTCTGTTATTTTTTTTTCGCTGCTGTTGATGTTATAGTTGTTGCTATTTTTGTTGTGGCTGTTGTTGCAGCTGTTGCTTCTGCTGTTGTTGTTGTTGTAGGTGTTGCTATTTTTGTTGTGGCTGTTGTTGTTGTTGCTGTTGCTGCTGTTGTTGTTATTGTTGATGCAGTTATTGCTGTTGTTGATATTGCTGTTGTAATTGCTGCTGTTGTTATTGTTATTGTTGCTGTTTTTATTATTGTTGTTTTTGCTGTTGTTGTTATTATTGTTGCTGTTGTTGTTGCTGTTGTTGTTGTTGCTGGTGTTATTGTTGCCATCGCTGCTGCTTTTGCTATTGTTATTGTTGCTGTTATTACTGTTGCTGCTGCTGTTGTTATTGTTGCTATTGCTGCTTCTTTTGCTATTGTTATTGTTGTGGCTGCTGTTGTTTGCAGCTTGGAGAGTAAAATAAAATCAATCGCATCGATTAGCCAGACAATAGTTGACTGTGGCGTGACGTAGCCTAGTATAATGTTCATCTTCGTACATTCCATACAGCGGAATAAAATACACGTATGTGAAGAATTGTTCGGTGTGAGTTTGATTTTAAAAGTAGGATCCGTTGTAAAAAAAAAAAACATGCAATATAAATCGTATCAATTTATCAAAATCACATTTACTAAAACAGTCATGTAGAGAGAGTGTGAGTTTTGTTGAGATTGTTTTTGTTTGTTTTGCAGAACATCCAAATAGGACGTTAACCCCGGTCACTTTTGAATCAATGACCCAGTACGTTTTGGACGAATGACCCCTGTCAATTTTGGAGAAATAGCATTGTAGGTTTCAACATTTTAAACAACCGTCCATAAAAATTTGAACCTACGACCAGAATGTTTTGGACAAACTGACCAGCCAGTAAGATTTGGATCAACTGACCAATACGTTTTGGACTTTATGATTAGTAAGTTTTAGACCAACTGACCAGTAAGTTTTGGATCAATGGAACAAATATTTTGGGACCAACTGACCAGAAGGTTAGGACCGAGTAACCCAAAAGTTTGGACAAACTATGCAGTAAGTTTTTGACCAATCAACCAGTAATTTTTGGACCAATGGACCAGTAAGTTTTGGACTTAATGACTAGTATATTTGGACCAACAAAAGCTTTGGAAAAACTGAACAGAAATTTTTGGACTGACTGACCAAACATTTTTAGACCAACTGAACAGAATGTTTTGGACCAA